TTTTTTCACAAAGAACCCATTCCCCTGTGTATAATCCTCCAATGGTTTCCCTTTACAACCAAAGTCCATATTACAAACAAGGCCAACAGTGTAAAGGCTTTAACCAATCAGCATCCTCTGGCATCGCTTTCTCTCTACTGTAGCCACTCAAGTCCTCTTTTACTGTCCTTTACTGAAATTAAGTTTTTTCCCATATGAGGAACTCCAAAGGGGTCTATATGGCAGTCCCTCACCTCTGCTGCTTCCTTTCACTTTTAGGACAACTGACATATCATTTTAAAGAAGTCATCTTTTCTGTCCCTCTCCCTCATCTTTACTCTCCTTTACTGCTTCCCTTCCAGCTCACTACCTCACATTCTTGATTATTCCTGCCAGCCTCCAGAAGGAAAGGATCAGGTTTAGGAGGGACTGACTGTCTTGTAGGTACTGTGCCTGTATCTGGAATACTGCCTGGCCATTCAAAGGCATTCAGTAAACATGTTCCAGGGTATCCAACCTCTTAAGAGTAGTAGCTATGCAGAACTGAAGACATGAGATAGTCTACCAAAACCTAAAACAGGAATTTTTTTTTTTGGTCTTTTTGAGACAGGGTCTCCCTGTAGCCCCAGCTGTCCTGAAACTCACTATGTAGACCAGGCTGGCCTTGAACTCAAGAGATCCACCTTCCTCTGCCTCCCAAGTACTGGGATTAAAGGTGTGTGCCACCACGCTTGGCTTAAAACAGGAATTCTAATGACCAGTGAAAAGTCACTGGGACCTTCAAAATGGTCTAAGAACATTCAGTACTAAAATATCTTAACTACAAAATGACATGTTACAGACTTAAGTCATAGGACAAAACACACCATTTGAATTCTATCCAAAGGAGATACAAGGCACCAGTCATCAAAATGTTTTTACTTCTTTTGGAGCATGCATGGTTTTACTATGAAAGATGCCTAGCCAAAAAGACAGGTATAGAAATGATACTCTGCAATGGTACCCTAAGTGGCTAAGAAAATGCAGGCGTGCAGAGCAGCAAGCACTGGCATAGCGGACACCCTGGAGAGCTCTCTGGAGATCAAGCATTGACCCAAGGACTGGGTGCTATTATGCCACTGCTTTAAGTTACAAAAGCAGCACACACAGAACGATCTCGTTTTAGGAAATGAAATATTTATATGCATATGAAGGGCTCCAGAATGAACATCAGACTATTCCTAGGTACTAGCCTCAACGACTGTGAATGAATGACTTACCTGTTTTCTAAATCTTTCACCAACACTGGTATTTTTTAAACAGAAAAAAAAAAAGTTTAAAATAGCTACTGGAAAGAGGAAAGATTTGTTGCTCAGGTTTTTCCACATCACACTGCTAATTCTTTCCCTGCCATCAACCCTCAGAAAGAGGGGGAAGAAGGGTCACTTGAGAGAGCACCTTTACCCAATTAGCAAAGCTCCTAAAGTCAGAGCATAAAAGGCTGCATGAAAAGTTGAAAAATTGAGGCCTCAGTATCTTGTTTCCAGCAGTTATAGCAGACACCGTGTTAAATATAGGAATGGAGTACGAAATACTCAAGTCTATGTGAGCACACACTGTTCTTAGGAAATGTCTTGAAAATGACACTGAATGATCTAAAATGTTTCAAAGGGAAGCACAGAGTATCATTTATCATTTTACCCAAGAAATCAAAACAAGTTCTTCATTATAAAAAAAGCTACAGGAGGGGTTAAGTGTGCAGAGAGATGGTTCAGTAGTTAAGAGCACTGGCTGCTCTTGCAGAGGACCAGGGTTCAAGTCCTAGCACCCACATGGCAGCTAATAACTGTCCTTAACTCCAGATCCAGGGGATCTGACTTTTCTGACCTCTGTGGGCAATGTGTGACACTCATACACATTAAAAAAAAAAAAAAAAAAAAGCTATAGGGGCTGGAGAGATAGATAGCTCAGCGGTTAAGAGAATTGGTTGCACCTGGAGAGGACCTGGGGTTCGATTTCCAGTACCCACATAGCAGCTAACAATTGTCCTTAACTCCAGCACCAAAGGAGCCTAACACCCTCTTCTGACCTTTGAGGGCACTGCATGACATGGGTGCATCTACCTACATGTAGGCAATACACTCGTACACATGAAATAAAAATAATAGGGGTCGGACAGATGGATCAGCAGTTAAGAGCACTCACTGCTCTTGCAGAGGATCTGGGTTTGATTCCTAGCACCCACATGGGGGCTAACAACTGTCCGAACTCCAGTTTCAGGGGCTCTGACGCCATCTTCTGACCTCCGTGGGCATTGCACGACACGGGTGCACTTATGTACATGCAGGCAATACATTCATACACACAAAATAAAAAAATAAAATATTTTAAATAAAAAATAAAAAATTTTAAAGCTACGTTTTAATCTAGATATTTGTTTCCAAGGAAACTGAAATAAAATTTTCTGAAATGAAGATATTAAAAGCAAACTTCCAATGTGTTTTGTGTTCTGATCCTGCTTCTAGAGAAATAGTCAAATGCTGAAATTTCTTAACACTATTGAATGTCAAAGAATTAAACAAAAAAACTGGAGGCAATACTGAAGGCCTAGGACCTTGTGCTTGCTGGAAAAGTACTTTACCCCTAAACTATGCCTTCAGCTCTCAAAATTAAATTTTAAAGATTCTTATTTATTATTTTTATTTTATGTGTACGAGTGTATTGCTTCCATGTATTTAAATGCACCCATGTCGTGCAATGCCTGATGAGGTCAAAAGAGGGCGTTGGATCCCAGGAATTAGAGTTACAGACAGTGGTTAGCCACCATGTGGGTGCTGGGAATTGAACCTGGGTCCTCTGCAAGAGCAGTCAGTGCTCTTAACCGCTGAGCCATCTCCCCAGCCCCTCAAAATTAAATTTTAAAAGAAAAATTGAACTGAACATTTAACTGGCATGTTAATAAAAGGTTAAGTTCTGTGCTCACAGTCTTACCTTTTCAAATTCCCGGCTCTATACTCCCTGTTGTAGTTGGTGCTCACCTGCCCTCTCGCCAGCCTCTCCTAATGCTCCTCTGTCCAGGGCAGCCTCAGCTTCAAACTCATGGCTGCCAGAACAAACCTATTTATTACTTGATCAGTAAATTTAGGCCTCACTGGTATCCTCTACTTTCATTCTTTCCTACTGAAATGAACTCATAGGAGAGATGAGACAGGGCAAATGTTTCCTTCCCATTTGTTACTTTAAATGTAACAAATGCCCTAGGAGGTCTATTTTACAGATTAAAATAGAAGATACATTCTGACATTTTTTCTTCAGTGCTGAACCTGATAAATCTACCACCTCCACCACCTTCACATTAGTCTTGTAGAACTTTTGTTCTCTGCAAAAGCAGCTTTTTAAAGCCTAGTCCTAACTCTGCATCTTCATCATCAATGCAGTGACAATGCAGAGGCTTCCTCGGTATTTGGACAGGACAAGTGAGCATATGTGAATGTGCTATAACCCTAAGAGTTACATCAAGATCCCGTGTGGACTCACCAATACTACCCATCTAATTGGCTTACCTTACATCATTGCACCAGTTTTCACAAGCACTTAAACGCACCACGTTTAAAGATACAATTAATATGTTTGTTCATTCTTCACAATTTTTGAATATTCTAAAAAGCTACAAAGATGTGTTGACCATGAGCCTTATGTTATTCTAAGCTGAAAACATCAAAAGCCCAACTAAAGTTTATGTAGACAGCTAGAACACATTCCTCTATAGAAATGAAGCAATTGTTGGCATTTATGTTAAGCAGGCCATTCAGGCTTAAACATCTTTATGATACAATGTCTTGTAATTCAAAGGATATAGCCCTCAATAACCATAGTTATCCAAAATTACCTAGACTCAAAGGGTTTCCAAAATTCTAGGAGTAAAGCATCGAGCATTTCCTCTCCTTCCTCCCACACACCCATCCCACCCTCCAATGGTTAAATCTGCAGAACTTTGCTTTTACTTCAACATTCTCACCATGGAACTAGATTCTCAGGGCAGGAGGTGGGGAGGGAAGGACAGAGGGATGAGGAGCCTTGGAAATAAGTACCTGCAGAGTCTGGCATCCTAACTCTCAAACCTTTACATTACTAATTAAAGCCTAAATTTATGCTTTTGTCTCCCTTGAAACGTCCAACCAACAATCTCAGCAACCACCCATCTCAAAAACTACCCCACCTACCATCTCTCTTTCGGATGAGACGAGGTAAAAGAGGTCTGCTAAATGGAGATGTAAAGTGGGAATTTTAAAGTAAACAGAACACCGTGGGTAAACTCCTGGGGGAAAAGGAGAAGGGGACTTTTCTGCAGTTCTGGAAGATATGACACCTTTCATAGCTACCAGAAGGGCCCCTTTCCCCATTTTTCTTCGCTTCTGTATTCCAACTATAGTTGGAAGGAAAAAAGTAGCCTCTATTGAGGCTCCCTTTAAAACCCTATTTAACAACATACATTTCGATGGCAACCTCTACTTGCACGTAAATAAAATCCTCAAACGGCTGGGTCTGAATTGCTCTAGCATCAGTTACTTATCTGGCTGCGAGTAGAGGAAGGTTCAGGCTTTTAAGTACCATCAAGCTAGGTAAGGACAGGGAGACGGGATAGTTATTCCGAAATTGGGGTACTGAGATTGCGTTATTGAAGGGAGCAATTATACACACGCACGCACCCAGAAAGTCCTGCAAAGTCCCACCGGATGGTACACAGCTACAAAGAGGCACGCGTGCGGGCTAGAGGTTCCCAGGCCGGGCTGAGGGAATGAAGGAGAGCAAGAACTGGGCGTTAGGGGTGGGAGAGAAAGAAACTGGCCAGACGCGGCCGGGAAAGAATAAGGGGTGGGGACGCGAGCCACAGTCAGCTTTCATCCCGGGTGCCCAGGCCCCGGAAAGCCGGCTCGGGGCAGGAAGAAGCCCGGGGCGGCGGCCGCCTCCCTGGGGGACCCCGGGGCACTGCGGAGGACAGAGATGCGCCCCGGCGCGAACGGCGCCCGCTGCCTCCTCACCTTCGGGCATCTCGCGGTCGCTGATGTGCTGCAGGTGGTGGCCCTCACCGGCTCCGAAATCCAACTCGGCGGGCTCCACGGCCGCAGCAGGCGCCGGCGCTACCGCCACAGCGTCCCCGGCCGCCACCTCGTTGATCTCAGACCCGTAGTCGTGCTGCGCCGCTCCCGCGCGCCGGCCCAGCTTGGGGCTGGCATTGGGGGATACGCAACAGGTCAGCGTGTTCCCCATGGGGCGCGTCCGCTCCGCTCGGGCGCCGCCTGCGCCTCCGCTCGCCCCCGACTCCGCGCCGTTCCGCAGCCGCCCCCTCCCCCAACAATGGCGCGGCAGGCGCCGGCAGCCCCGGGCTAAGCGGGGCTGCGCC